TCACTGCCGAGAGTGTGGTTGGAGAGGAGAGTTGCGTTGGTGTGAACCATGACGTGAATGTGAGTGGCTCGGCCAGTGTAGTGACCAGGGAAGATGGACTCAAACTGAGCAACACCATCAGAGTTGGTCTTCTGAATACCTCGGAGCCAGGTGTTGTCGATGTTGGTTTCGTCGGATTGGTCGCCATTGCCACCTGCGATAACTCCAGAGTAAACTCCGGTAGAGTTGCAGTGCCACATCTCGAGGTAGACGTTGGGAACAGGGTCACAAGTCTCGACGTCGATGACTTGGTAATCGAGGACGATGTTGAGTCCTTCTTGTTCTTCGATGACGTTCTCTCGGACATACTCGCCAGCAACGTCTATCTGCATTAGTTTTTGCGCTTGGATAGTAGTGTATATGATGACTTACAGTAAGGACCCTGAGTAACTTCAGGGGTCAAAACACAAGAGTTGATGCTCGCGAAGAGAGTAGCAGGATCAGTGCACTCAGTGAAGCCCTGATCAGTCTGGTTGTGAGAAGCGGCCAAAACGGTATCAGCATCTCGCTTCTTCAAGGCACGCTTCTGGCGAGCCTTGTTGACCTGGACTGCACGACGGGCAACATTGCGAGCTTCAACACCACGAGCTTTGAGCTTAGGCGCGCAGTGAGCGAGAGAGGATCTCTTGACAGAGCCGAGGAATTCTCGACGCTCGGCGGCTTCGTGGGCAACGTCGTGTCCTGGATGGGCTGAGGCGATGTTGGCCGCGAGGGCAAGGCCGGCAAGGACGGTTTTAACAGAAGGCATTGTGAGAATTTCTGAAAGTTTGTAATGAGAGTTGAATGATGGAAGTCTTTGTTGGTTATCTGAGTAGTCGTTGTGAGATATGTATTTACTGCCAAGGGACCGCCTTCTTTTATAAATGTTCCCTGCCAAGACTTCTTGTTAATTCATCGTCAACATTTCAGATAGTAACCCACATACCGCGCGCCTCTACTCAACAACATCATCGAATTCGCAGCCTCAGAGAGGCGCATTGAGGTATCTCTCCGGTGACGCGTTACATCAAAGATATCGAAACCGCCAATCCTCTCCAAATAGAGTCAAAGGCGGGAAATTCCACGAACTAAGCATGAAGCATAGACGGCAACTAAGAAGCACTGCCGGGGATATCGTTAATTGCCCTATGAGATTGATTGTAAAAAATGTCTGAGCGAGTCAAGGTGACGACGATTGGTTCTTTGGTGTCGTTAGTTACACGCAAGCTTCCGAGCCTTGTGGGGAGGCTCGGCTTTCTCCCACATCACGAAACATGGGATCCACGATTTGAAGCAGAAGGTAGGATTTAAGAATTTTAATGCTGTGACTACGCATGCATTATTGCATTACGTATCTTCTTATTGGTTATTCTATCTGATCTCGGAGGATATTTTTTCTAGAACAGGAGTGTCGCATCCCGTTGCGAGGGTGTAGGGATGGGATATGACCGAGCCATGTTTTTCGCAAATTTCGGTAGAGAACAACTTCAGTAACAAAATGTTCTCAAAATTGATTTCAATATCGGTGACAAGCTAGAATAGTTTTCAATTTACTTAGTATATTGATTGTTGATATGTCTGATGAAATCGGATGAGAAAAGTCAATGTTTCAGCCTTTAAAGATAATCGGCGATCAACTCGGACCCTTTGCCTAATTCTGCCGTCAGGGATAATGCAATGCTAACCTGTACCTTATTCCGCGTGTCTTGAAGAAAAACAAACTCTCCCACATCTCTTCTCTCGACGCCCGTCTTCTGCGCCACGTTCCAAGCCCACGGATCTCCATACGAGTCCGATGGCATTCATGTCTACACTAGAATTTTCCAGATGCGGTTTTGTTGTCGAGATTAATTAGCATGTGTCTATTGTCCCGTGTTTGCTTCATTCCTAGCTCAGAGTTAATGGGCAGCCGCATTCTGTTCCATCTCTTGGCGACGTCTTAGCCTGGTTGGCGGTCCTCGGGCGAGAACGTGGTGTGGCGTCGCGTTAGACTGGCCTTGTTGTAACAGTAGTTTCTACTAATTCAGTCCATCTTTGTCAAAGCGCGTGTATTGAGGCATTTATCTGGGGTAGACAGGCCTGAAGACAAGTCAATGCTATTGCCGTGTAGAGATGGATTAAGAGCGGATGTCGACACTTCAATGGCAATGTGCCAATGCCCATGGTTAGCCATGGCCAATGTAAACATTCCACTGTTGCTCGTGCTACAGCCACAAACTCTCTATAAAGATCTGAGAGACCCTTTATCACAAGCCACCAGCTTTCGCGATTGGTTCCGCGGGGAACCTCAAGAATTGACGACCTTTGGAATGATGGCTGTGCATTGCTCGGGAAAGAGAAAACAAGTACCTTTATGTACGTGAATGTTGACAAATGGTCCGGAACCGAGACAATGCAAGGGAAATGGCTCAGCCGTTCACTCCTTGCACTAATAACCACGAGGTGTGGGCAACAACTGAGACACCTCGGTTAGAAGATGTCAACGAACTAGCGGGGATGCAACTTATCATTTCGCTGGTAGTCCCTCGCAGGTAGCCATGGCGAGTGTGGTAGTAATCTCTAGGCGCCAAGGATAGGTACTGCTAAGAACACAAGAGACAAAATTAGTGAGTCGCTTCATGACCCTCCAAAGTAGGGTCTCTGACTACTTATTTTCTACACCTATCACAAGGATAGCAATACGGACTTCCTAGTGTCATCTAATCAATAAAGCTATCGCTGGATCTCAGGCCACTCTGGCCCGGATCTACGGACGCGTCCTCCGAGAGAGATCTATTGATGCAAGAAGCCTGCTAGCCCTCCCAAGCTACCAGCATGTCTCATAGAGTTTGAAGCTATTGTTTAGCGGCCCTACCGAGCTGACATGTTAGTCTCAGGTCCAGATCTAACCGATGTCACCAACGGGAAGGACATGGCTTGCCAGAATTCCTTAAAACCGACAGCCCCTTTGCCGTTGTTTTCAGGGTCTTCTCCGTCTGTTCTTTTTCACTCCATAATAATCTTTGTGCCTAATACCAAAATGCCTATCTCTGAAGTCGACAAGTACCTTTGGCTGGCCTACTGCAAGGCAGTCCAGAATGCTGTTGGTGGTCTGCCTGGACACAAGCCTGCTCTGTTCTTCACCAAGAAGGCCCAAAAGGCACCTGTTGCATCGCCAGATATTGACCCTGCTTATACCAACTATGGTATCAACAACATCATCAACAACTTCTTGCAGACCGATGATCTGTTCTTTGATCCGTCTCATCATAAGACATACACCCAATGTCTTCTTGAGTAGGTGCATCCATCCGTGACTATTGGATACCACTGACCATCTCTAGATACCTTCTCTCAGTCAAAGTCGTGAGTAATCAGTACGGTTGCTTCAAGCATTTCTAACAAGATACAGGGCAATAGTGAGCAGGCTCGCATCACAATGACTGGTCGAAACCTGACTAGTGCGCTTGATCAAGCTCTACGTGAGAGAGAGCGCGCTCTAGAGAAGTTTGAGAAGGAGGAAGGCTATGGACTTACTGGAGATGAAGACTTTTCTCAGTGGTGGCCTTCACACGCTCCAGCGTTTTCTGCTGCTAAGCAGAAGGTTGATGCTGTGGCTACAGACTATAGAGCTATGCTTCTAAACGCTGGAGGTCCGGCTGCCAGTTCTCTCGCTCGAGATGTCAACAGACTTATTCAAGCTCTTATCGGCGGACAGTCTATTGACGGGTGAGAATCCAAACCCAAACATATCAGCCACCATCTAACTTTCATAGGATCACTATGCCTGCTTGCCACGCATCAGCTGAAATCACTCGAGAGCTTCTCGAGAAAGACAGGACACCGCACGCCATCACATACGTGCCTGAGTTCATTTCACCGCACTACACATCCCAGGTTGAGCACTGGATAAACGGTGTTGGTGATGGAGATTCGTCAACTCAGATTAATGTCGCGGATGGAAAGCAAGTTGATGAATCTGACTTTGGCCATGCTGCGACAGACGGCTTCTCCTATGGCCATTGGCTGTCATTCTCCGCCAGTAAGGGGAGCACAAGCGAGAAGGCAGTATCTTTTGACTCTATCGATACTGATACTGGCCTTGATATTCAATTTTCATATGATGAGATCCAAACAGTTTCCGTCCCAGCTGGAGATTGGTAAGTTCTGGATTTTCAGTCCCATAAGCTATGCTAACACTACTTCAAAGGAACGTCCCTAGTCCTGGAAGACGATACCAACTGTCAACCACCGCTTCAGAAGAATCTCGCAAACTGGCATTCCCAGACTATCTCGTTGTGGTTCGAAACCTCGGTTTTAAAATCAGCATTCGGGATACGAAATTCGCCAGACAGGTGGATGAGATGTTTGAAAATGCCAAAACATCGGGTGGTTCCGTGCGAGTCTTTGGTATTCCTGCTACCCCAGAGGGTGACCCTGAGAAGGCTACTGAGGAGAATGCCCATGTTGCTGAGTGGGATCTGGGTAACGGGGTGCTTTCAATTCGGCCAACGGCTGATGCTGGCTTTGCTTCTGTTGTTGCACTCGTTGGCGAGTTGAATATTAGTTAAGCAGGAGGAATGTTGTATAGTTTATGTATGATCAGCAGTGGCAGGCTTATACTTTTGTGTTTGTCGTTAGATTAATATGATATTTCAAGATATTATTCAAGTGCATAACAGCAACTAAGAGATCCATATTCATAATAAATCAATATAGGGTTTCCCATGGCAAAGCCTCTGTTCATTTCCTGGCATATATCGAGAGATTTGACCGTCGAGAATTTGTCAAGCGATGGGCTCCTGCCACATCACTTGGCCACAACAAGCAGTAACAACTTCCTATACATAAATCTATCAACGGGAAAGACACACAGCATACAATTTAGTTATCTGATATATGTTCTCATTTCTGTCCCACCAAAAAGCTTCACCACTGGCAAAAAGCTAGCCACTGATCCACAGCACCCGAACCCAGCATCACAAAACATTAAAAGGGAGAACCGACAACGGCAGGATTCGAACCTACGCTCCCGAAGGAACATCATATCTAACATTGTTTCGAGTGATGCGCCTTCACCACTCGGCCACGTTGCCTTTCGGATATATATCTCCGCGATAATTTGTGTATATCAAGGTAGCAATAGTCAGGAGTACAGATCGGTCGAATTCCCCATGGCCAGGGAGCCCGAACATCTATTGCAAGCAATGTTTAGTTAGTGGTGCAATTTATCTGTTTACTCCGATGACCTAGAGCCCTTTTACGAGTCCATGTTTGCAGAGTGATCCAAAGCATGTCAGCCGTTTTCGCAGGATCGTTTCTGGAAACTACGAGGTCACTCCTGAAGTAGTACAAAATGCATGGTATTTATTAAGTAATATCCCATTCTCGAAAACTGTTCAATCGTGAAATAGCGGTTTGGTCCGGACAAACGTGATAGAGGTGGAGTTTTGTTATGTTTGGATGTCATAACCATATTCACAACCAGCAATCAACAGAGCCGCTTAAATCACCCCTGATTGTCATACATGTCTCAAGTTCTTCCAAAAGAGAGTCTGTGAAGGCTAGAGAAATAGCTACAGCTCGTTCCTAGGTCTTGGGGTTTATTCTCTATTACACAGTACCATGCGTCGACTCCTTCGTGTTAATATGCTGAGTACCTATATCTTGGAGCATAAAGTCATCCATTAGAATCACTTTCAATGAGTGGAATGAAAGGGATCTTCTCAAGACCCTGTCATGGTCTCTAGCGTCTCCTGTCTTTTCAAAGAGCGCGCCCTTGAATTAACTTTAGCCCCACCAGACCCCGCCTTGTTCTTCTAACTTCATCACTTACCTCACCCTATAAATACAACCAGGAATTGCATAACGATATCTACCTTTGAACCATTCGACTAAGCCAAAATGTCACTTTACGTTAGACAACTCAGTATTAACGACCTTGAGGAGTCACTCGTCGTCGAGACTGCGGCGTTTCCACCGGCCGAAGCAGCGACTCGAGAAAAGGTACGTAAATCCATCCACTGAAAGACCAAGTAAACTCACACTTCTCAGATCGACTACCGCTTGTCCGTATGCCCCGAACTATGTATGGGTTTGTTCCTGCGCGCAGGGGCTAGTCTTCCATCGCCTGTTCCTCAAGACATACCCTTCGTCGAGACTCCTGAATCCAAAGACGATGTGCTCCTCGCACACGTCATCTCCACCAAGTCTACCAACAAGCCCGTCAGGGATGAAGACATGGACTATCCTCGCGACTGGAAGACTGATCCCCAGGGCGATTATGATGTGGGTCACAAGAAGAATGGAAGAACAATCGCCCTTCATGCCCTTGCCGTTTCTCCTGATTACCAGAGGTCTGGTTTGGGAAAAGCGGCTATGCGAGCGTATATCGAGCGAATAAAGCAAATCGACGCAGGAGATAGAATCTCAATTTTGACCTACGACCGACTTGTGCCATACTATCAAAAGCTTGGGTTCGAACACTATGGTAAAAGCGAGTCTGAATATGCCGGCGTGGCCTGGCATGATCTTGTGAGTAGAACTCCTCGAAGTATTGAAGTATTTCTAACTGTTATGCAGTCTTACATTCTCTCTCAATCTTGATAAACATACATATTTCATCCCAGAACTGTATACCAGCGAAACCTAGAACAAAAGGGGGCCGTCCTCATGATATTATATTATGCCATTGATTAATTTCGGATCATGATTTCGTCTTTGGTCTCCCAGGAATCAATAAGTAGTTTCGCTGTGAAGGATACAGAGGAAGTTGGTGAGTTAAAGATACTGAGTAAGGATGATACAGGGGAAAAGGAAAGACATTGGTCAAGGAACATACGTTTCTAGTTGAGTTAGCATCAATACCTATGATAGGTACATATAGCTTAGAGACTGTCAGGACAATAATGATTATTCGTCGTCTTTCTCATTTTCCTCCATTCTCTCTTCGTCTCAGCCTTGACGCCATTCATCGGGTTAGGAATCTGATAAAGCTCAAAGAGAAAAAGGTATTTATACCAATAAGTAAGATAAGTACATTAACAGAAATAGAGGAAATGACTATATTTGCGGCCAGGTAGTGTCAAGAATTCAAGTTTCATCTGATGTTTGTGGATAGGAGAGATATTTTAAGGATTTGAATTCTCATACATGGCCTAGGAGTGATCTAGGACATCTATAGGAGAGAAGGTCAGTCAGTACCTACGAAATGGAAGGGTTTTCTTTAAGTATCTCGATAGAATATTACAAGCATGTCCACTGGTTTCTCTCTTTTGCTTGTAGTTATTCTGGCTACAGTGGCTGCCGGTTCACAGCTGTCTGGCAGTGCCAGATCATAAATTTCAAAGCTGCGAATGCGTTAGGGCTTCCGCCATTACGAATCACTCGCTTGTTGCTTGCCTTTTCACATTATTCTGCTCTTTCCTCCCTTTTCTTCTTTATTTTCTTCACATCGCATCGCAACATTCACGTAACGCAACCCAAGTTCACAACAAACCAACACAACGATATCCTCTTTACACCGTGTAAAGAGACGAACAACAAGAAGAAGAAGACAAAGAAGAAGACATAGTCGTATAAACAAAGTAAGCTCTCATTTCCTTCTTTTGGACTCTCTCTGCAGCCTTTGCCCACCGCGCCGAGGAGACTGAGTGACAAAAGAACCTATCTTTGTTCTCGCGGGTCAAACAAACACTCTCCATTGCCTCAAACTCACTAACATTATAATTAGATGTCTTACAACAACGAAGACATCCAAACTATGGTTAATGCAGCCATTTCCGCATTAACCGGTGGTTCTGGTTCTGGTGGTCGCCGAGGCGGTCGTGGTTCTGGTTCTGGTGGTCGTGGCGGAATTCGCAAGGATACCAAATCGCGCTGCTACCGAGTAAGTTCTCAGGGCTCTTGCTCATAATCTCCAGTATTTAGATACTAATACCTGAACATAGTGCCGCTCATCGGAGCATCTAATCGCCGACTGCCCTCACAAGGGTGAGTCTCGCCGCAAGGTCAGACAGCGGCTGAGGGAGGCCCCTCCTGCTCAGGAGACTCTCCCTGCGGCTGCTGAGCAGCCCGACCTCCCACCGACCTCTCCGACTCCTGCCGCTCCGGTTGCCTCTGCTGTCGTCCCTGCTGCTGCTCCTGCCGCCGCTCCCGCTGCTGCTCCCGTCGCCCCTACTGAGCAACCTACCGTCAGCCTTGCGGTGCCTCGAGACGAGCCTCAGTCTCCTCCCTCTCCCCCTCCTGCTGCCGAACCGCAAACCGGTAGACCTCTCGCGCGCCTGGGATGGACTGTTCAGTGGTCCCCCAAATGGAACCGGTGGTACTACGTCCACTACCTCGATGGTAGTGTTGAGTGGTACGAGCAGTGAAAGACTGGATGGGGTCGTTTTGTTTGGTGGTTGTTGTTGATGAGGTAGCATTTGACTGCTGACATCATGGAAGAAGGTAATAGCTATCCATGGTACTCTCGTTGTTTGGTTTTTTCTCCTTTCTTTGCTTTCATTTCATTTCATTTCCTTCCTCTCTTTCTCTTTCCTTTGCCCAGAGTTACAGGCGTATCGGCTTGTTCTTTGTTCATTTCGCTATTTCCCTTTTTGTTTTGCGACGTCACAGACGTCATTCCATGTATGCCAAGGAAAGGCCCCCTTCCCACTTCAGCACCGATGGACAGCATGGACAGGTTATTTCTCAAGCCGGAAACGTAAATGTACGCTTGAGCCGGGACAAGATGCACTCGACGAGATACTCACGCTCGAGCTGTAGCAAGATGCCGCTTTAGCTGGGGACAAGATACACTCGATGAGATACTCACGCTCGAGCTGTAACAAGATGCCACTTTAGCTGGTGAAAACCTACTGCTATAGATCTGGAGGTGCTGGAGCTGGATCCTGTTTATGGATAAATCTTTCCTTGGAGTGTTTTCCTTTTTATTACTACGTACATATTTATGTATTGGAGAAGGGGGTCTAGAACGACAGGCTGGCACCTTCACGTGGTGTTCTAGGTCAGTAGCTAGGGATCTTCAATGATCCTTAGTGAAGCTAAGACCAGCCTTATCTCTGTATTCCTAATATTAGGTAGTGTCTCAATTGGATTCGATGACGCAGAAACTTAAGAGTGTTATTACTCGGTTATATGGCAGATGCGTGTGTCAAATAATTACAGAAGGGGCTCACTATGCGACGCGTAGGGTCAGATTGGTCTCATGAGCTATTCCGGCGATAAGTCCCAACTGTCGTTTGAAACGCGCTTTCAGAGTGTTGACAACGTGGGTGCAGGCAGGACGAGCCGCGATGAAGGCATTGCTAATAAGCTTGACCTACCGGTTATAGCTGTAACTGATGATGGGTAGCTATACCTCAGTGTGTCAGAAGTATTGATCTTATGATAACTTTATCCTTGAACATAGACAACTTCACTTTGGTAACCTAAGCCTTAGAGGTTAATTCTTCTGTTGCCCACCTGCAAAGTGAAGTTGTCTAAGTGCTGGTCTGAGTCAGCCGTACAGTTGGAAAGGCATAAGAAACGAGACATACCGTGGATGAAATGGCCAATATGGCCTGTCATATGAGGCTCTGATGAGGCGGCCTGCTCTGGAGGATTGAGTGTGTCTCCCGAACTGGCTGAGTGATGGTAGATCACGGTACGACCTGGTTGGCAAGTTGACCTCCTTTTAGATGAGTACTTGGAGAGTATAGAGGGGAAGTGTTCTTTAGATAATGCTTAAGGTGCGGATACGCAGCGGTAGTAAGAATGTGCAATCCGGCGCTTACGGGACGGTGGCCGGAGGAGGATTAAGAAATCGGTCCCCACATACCGGAAGCCTGATAGCCGTTCTTGTTCCTTAGCGGCGCCGACGCCGGGATGGTGCAGAAGGTTCGCAAATAGCTTCATTATTAAGAGGATTTCACCAGGCAATCTTTAAATATTTTAAACATATGAATTCTGTAGCTAGTAATATTCGTTTACATCAGCAGGCACAGCCTACTGAAGATAATCGTCTAGAAAGGCTTTCATCCAGGTTTGGTATCTAAAGGGGGAATTGTAAACAATAAACATGTCGCAAACCAGTACAAAAGAAATCAACATCGCA